CAATTAGAAAGTATTGACAAAAATATTCAATCTTTTTTACATCAAAATAAGCTCAAGCATCTGCTGCCAAAGTCAGACAATATCAACTAATCTTTTAGAGTTATATTTTTATTATACTGACAGATGCATGGCTGCATGACATAGATGTCAATTTAAGTTACTAGTGCCATTAATACTTGACAAAGACATGCTCCCAGAAGAATTTATGTTCTTAAATTGTTGTCAGATGAGTATATGCCAACAAAAAGTAAACAGTTATTCAGCCGTGTTCTTAATGAAGCTAAAAGTGTGTTATCTCCAGAGATATATTAAAAAAAAAATGCTATTCACATCTTTCCTATTCTCTAAATTCCTCAGAACTGACAGCAGAAAAAGTAATTCTGTGCCTGCAATTGCCTCCCATACATATATCCTCCTTCACTTTTTGTATGTTCTGGCTGGCAGCACAGGAAAATTTTCAGTTTCGTTTGAGGTGAACTTCAGCATTCAATTGCCTTCCTCAAAATTTCAAATAACCTTACTTTTTGGTAAGAATGTTGTTCTAAAGAGAACAGTGAGGAAACCACACCAGAGTTTCTGATCTGCTTATTCAGTCAAAAAACTGTTGGAAAGTGATACAACATAACTCTTTAAGAAGGATGAGATTTAAAACACTGATGTCCAGTTCTTATTTGTCAAATGTGCTGGTATATTCATTATTAAAATTTGTACATTTTAGAAACCTGAGCTTTCATTGTCAGTATGCCATCATGAGCAACTAAGCTTACTTTAAATTCTTTCCTTCCATGTTTTTTATTTTCTTTACTTCTTTCCCTTCTCTCCCCACACTAGTATTTTGGAAAGATTTTTTTTTCTGAAAGCAAGAATTGAATTCTCAAGGTACAGCAGACTAGTGTTCACAGGGTTTCTTTAGCAGGACTTTCTGGTGCTTTTAAAAAGCATATTTATCTAGTCCATTGAGGTTTTAAGTAACTTGAAATACTGAATTTCGAGTTGAATCTGGGGCTGTAAACATCTAAATAAGGGCTAAATCATTATCCTTAGTGATTAGCTACTGTTTTTTCATTAAAATTATTTTTTTAGAGTGGATTTTTTCTTAGGGATGAGGCTGAACTTCATAGAAACAATTTTTCTGCTAATGGCTGTAATGTCTCTATTAAAAAGTAAACCAGACCTAAAGGACTGAAAGCCATCTTAACACTTCTAGATGTATTTCTGTTCCCTGTACTGAGACAGTCTGTGAAGATGAGATCTGTCTCTCAGAATGCAGCATTCAAGTCTCCTTTTAAAGTAGTGGTGATGCACAGTATCTCTAGAGCTGTAATTTGCGTCACCATTAAGCCACTATTTAAAGGATACCACAGGAACTGGTCCCCAGATATGGTGCTTTTTTTTTTTACTTTTTTTTTTTTTTAAATTGAAGCCTATGTTACTGGTGTAGGCAAAAATATTTAAAATCAGATGAACTCTCACCTCTGCTGCCTCTTTAGGGCCATTGACAATGATGTTTTGGATGGGGCTCTATCAATGTGTGTTGTTTTTCAGTCTGTCACGGCAGACTGTAGTCTGCTGGATGCCTGACCACTCTGTATGTATTAAAATAATATTTCAAATTTCTACTGTGAGTAGATTTTCAGAGTTAATGCCCAGGAATCTATTGTGGACTCTAGTTTTTAAGGAGGCAATGTCAGAGAGGTTGGGCAGGTCATTTTGATAGGGTGATATGGGGAATGAAATGAGGTGCAAGAAGTCTTTACTCACGTTTCTTTGGAGCCCCTCTTACTCTTGTTTGCTTTCTTTTATTGTTCTTTGCCTTGGTAACTTGGTAGCAATTCAGTCTTCCTGTTTCCTCCCACCCCAAGTCTCCTGTGACTTGAGAATCTCGTACAGCTCTGGAAAAGAGAAATAAGAACACGGGGTTAGCCAAGATGGATTTACAATCTACAATCATAAAATCATAGAATCATAGAGTGGTTTGACTTGGAAGGGACCTTAAAAATCATCCCATTCCAGCTGTCCTGCTGTGGGCAGATATTCTGGGGTGACACCTCCCACTTGATCAGGTTGCTCAGAGCCCTGTCCAGTCCAGCCAGGAACATTGCCAGGGATGGGACATCCACAGCTTCTCAGGCACATGGTGAAAGGTGTTCTACTAAGACTGGGCATGCCCTGAGTGGAGAGGACTTGCAGTGGTGTAACCTGTGGGGCAATTTGGACTCTGAAGTTTGGAGGTTGAAAGCTTCCTGGGACCTTCTGCTGGTTGCTCATACAACTACCCATAGTTGAACCTCTACAGCAGGAGCAGCTTCCAGAAGGCTTTCCAAGCCTTGATGGTTTGGAAGCATTGATGGATAAAATGCAGCTGCAGATAAACAGAGGGACTGAGAGGAGAGGCCATGCTTGCTCCAAATAATGCGATGTGATTGGAGCCATGGGGCTGTGCTGACCTCTGTGTGGGAGAAGATTCATTAGGTGCTAAGTGATGAGTTACTTCTGTAGTGGTAATTTTTTCCCAAATATGGAAAGAGATGCATGTTTTATTGAACCTTTCAGGAAGAGTCTGAAAAATCTGAAAATAAAAGTTCTTGCTTTTTTACACATTATCTTTCTAGAAAAAAAAAGCTGTAAATATAAATCAGTCTTGTTCTTTCCTGGAATCACAGGGAGATTATTTGATTTTCCTTCTATTATGAAAGCAAAATTTAAAAATGAAGAGTCCCTGTGAATTATTATTGCATTTTCAATAGCTGTAGTAGATGCATTGCAGCCAAAAACCTATTTGAACTGTTTGTACTGTTTCTATAGAGAAGTGTGTGGTGCTGACTTATATTATACGTTATTAAGAAATTTTTGGAAAATATTGGAAAGATGAACATTGTTAGGAAGACTTAATGAGAGAAGCATAATTCTCTGAGAAGCCACTGAATGAGTGTTTGCAATGGGGATGTTGGCTGGGTATCCAAAAAACTTTTTTAGCAGTGGAAACTTTGGAAACAGGTTTTAGCTGTGTGTCTCAAGTCTCTCAAACACAATAACTGAAATCCTAGAATGTGACTCATGTAAGGATTAGAATAGTTCAATTGTAGGTGTATTCTACAGTGCCAAAAAATAAGCTGGAATATCAGGCAGTAGATGACACTTTGTTCCTTTTAGTTTCTTCTGATAAGAACTCTCCTGATTTCTATAGCAGATAAGTACTTTTTACTGCAGGGAAAGTGATGTTACCTGTTAGAGGACGTCTTCAGAAGCAGCTGTAGAAATATGTGAGGCTGGTTTTATTTGTTTCTTTGTTTAATAGTGAATTTCAGTCAGGGCAAGAATTAGGTAAATATAGCAAAGCTGACGTTTTTTCAGCATATCTGCACACATTTATTTTTACCATCATTATTTGTCAAAAGCAATATATACATGAGAGTATTTCTTCTCTGCTAGCACTTTAGAGAGGATAGGCAAGAGATGTTCATACTTATGGACAATTTTGTTGTTGTTTTTTTAAGTTTTCCATTCTGTGCCTGTTTCTCCAACCTTTCTCTGTCTCCAATCAAGCACTTCTTTAAAAATGGCTGCAAGTGACTTTGTTTCAGAAAAAAAGGATTTCTTTTGTCCCATTTTCCTTCATCTGATTTTCCAGGGTACTAGAACCAGATTTGGATGCAGAAAAGGCATGAGAACATCTCTCTAGGTCTTGGTTTTAATGGTTCTTCATTGACAGTAGGACAACTAATCCTAGGATGAGTAACTAGCTTAGTTAATTTGTTCACTTTGATTTAATATGGTCAGCTATGCTGGATATAAAACTGCATTTTATTTCTTTAAAGAACATTGCATTTTGACTAATACAGAAGTACTTGAGTAATGTAGAGGTACTTTTGTTACATGCATCTTGCCTGTGATGGAAACTCTGGCTTTCTGATGAAGGCAGTTTTACTGAAGTGTCAAGGAAAACTGTCTGCAAATGTTTGAGTTAAAAATGGATGTTAAGTCCAATGTGTTTGTAGAATATCTGATAAAAAAGAAAATAAAGATAATTGTCAGTTTTATGTAAAAGTCTCAAGAAAATGATGAAAAAAACCCAACAGCAGGGAATTTGCTGTTTACAAACTTTTATTGAAGAGACAGGAAAATGACATAAACAATAACATATTAAAACAATACCTAATTTATTCTGTGTATCTTGCTATATACCTTTGTCCTGGAGCAGGACATGGTTTGAGGTGTCTGTTCTTTACTCATCAGAAATACCTGTGTGTCTCCTTTATGCCCATACTTTGTTTTAAATATATTCTGATACAACAAGGATTTGTTTCCCACACATCTAAAGGGCAGGTTTAGAAGCTTAGGCATTCCTTGTTTCTGCCTAGGCACTGGAAGGAAAATATTTGGCATGACTCCAGTTGTGCTAGATTAATTTGAAGGACCATCTTGTATCACCATGCTCTGAAAATTGCTTTTCATAAGCGATTTATCAAGTTCTGGCCTGGGTACTTGGATGGTTACAGTGCTGAGTCAATTAAGCCTGCTGAGGGAAATCCCAGCTCAATTGCACAAACCTTTTGATATCAATGGAGCCAGGATTTCTCATCATCATCCCCAAAGGTCCCATGGCATAGAAAACAAGGAAACATAATCAGAAGTTGAATCAAAGTGTATTTAAGTTTCTCTACAATGAAAATTTTAAATTAATTTGGTAATCACAGAGGAATATGATTTATAGAATTATAATGCAGGATTGTAATTTCATAACCTATTCAGTGAATTAGCTTTAGTAATTTTATTATTATTTTATTTATTAGCCTGCATTTTCAAAGATACTGCAAAGGTAAAGATTGTGATTGCAATTTACAATAAGTGATTATTTTTGCATTAAGTGTTTTCGGGTAAGGGAAGAGTGACAAAGTTACTGAAACAATGGCCAATCTCTTATGAAACATCTTCTATTTTGGTTCTGTGCATATTTAGGAAACTCAATGCTAATAATTCCCTTTTTGATTTTCTTACAGCTAATTCCAGCCTTCTTGGAGGTGGAGGAGGTGAGTCTTTGCATAATGCTTAATTCACTCTTAAACAAACATGAAATATATGCTGGACCAATGCAGAGAGGTTAGTTGGTTATGAAAGAATATAAATTCAAAAGTTGGAAATATACATTTTTTAGATGGAAAAATTCACCAAAGTCCATAATTATTCCTATCATCACAAGGTAAGGTTTGCAACTGCTGCTGAATTTGGTTTCAACTCTGGGTCAAAGTAGGGGCTGAGATGTATATGAGGCTCACTAAAACATAAAGGAACTGCTGAACTGCCCTATGGTGTGTTGTTTTTAAGTATTTAGACTTTGTAATTTACCCCAGGGGAACCTCAAATGTATGATTAATAAACAATTTTAACACAAATGTGAAAATATTAAAATACAGTAAAATGTAATTTTAGTAAATGAAAGTGGCTTTATCTTTGTACTTTTTTTTTTTAATATTGTTATGGTTTAAACTTGATTGCTTACCTTACTCTGCTTGCCAGAATAGTCAAGTAGATTTCAATATAAAACTTTGGTGCAAGTCAGAGATGCTACTAAAGTGTCTACTGCTAAGGCAGGGATGCTCAAGTATGTATCATTGTATTACTTCCAAATACATGGATGTTTTTTTATTTTAGTAGATTGATGCTATTTTAATTTTGGTATTTCTGTAGTACTGTGGCCATATAATCTATATGAGTGGTAACAATGTAGGAAAAATGAACTCATAAAGAGCTTAATCTCAGTTTCAGTGACTTCCCCTGCCACCCAGAGGGAAGTTGAGAGCTCAGTTCTGGAAATTTCACAGCGCAGGCGTGGTACAGGCAGCAACTAATGCTCCATCCTGATGGGAGTTAAAAGAACTCTATGATCAGAGATTACATATGCAAGGGTAAAGGAAAGGGCTCTGTAAAAAGGAGATCTCTGTTGCTTGTGAGGCTGCAGGCTAAGTCCTCAAAACTTTTGTTTTAACTGAACAGGCAGCTCTTATTTTGGACTATAAAAAGGTGCTGGACAACCAAATAATCTAAATAAAACCATTCATGTTCTTCAGCTGTGTGTCTGGACATTAAAGTACAGGGCAGCCTTACCTGTTAATCCTGTTGGATTAATATGTTTCTTTTGATTTGAGTTAGTTGTTTGCAGTATACCAAATTTTTCTTTGTTTAAAAGATAATCCTTTAGGAGGTAATCCTTTGCTAGCTGTTCCTGTTTCTGCAGAGCTGTTCCTGTACCTCCTCTCCAGCACTTGCTCCCAGCTGGTAACATCGAAAAAAAAAAAATATAAATCAATGCAAATGTTCAAATTCTAATCAGGTTCCCAGGGCACTGCTGCTGCTGAAAGGATTTGGCTATTAACTTTCCGTGTTATTTATTCAGCTGGACTGTACTTCAGAAGTTGATGTCTGTTCAGTGTGGCCCTTGATAATGTGGCTTTCCCTCTGCAGCAGATGGGATGAGCCTGTGCTGTGGGTCAAATTAGGATTTTCCCTGCATTTTATGTGTTAAAAGTGGCAATTAAAATTATGTTCTCTCCCTTCATGGCAGGCTGAGATGATGGCAGCCCAAGGTGCTGCTGCCCCTTCTCCCCTCCCTCCTTCCCTCCCTCCCTGACATCCTTTGGGATTTTAATTGCAATTTTAAAAGATCAGTGCCTTGAGGGTTATGGGGAAGCTGCTGTGGGAGGTTGGCTTTTGGGCATGCAGTGGGTTTCTCCAGGCATGAGCTGCTGCAGCCCCCATGGCCAGAACCCCAGTCCCACATCCTTTGATCTCTGGTGGAAGGATAACAATGCTTAACATTAACAATAACTCTTGTTGTGGTACAGGAAAAATACCAAATCTGACAGATTTATGGCTTAGAGGGTGGCTGCTTATGGCTGAGGGGCTACATATGTGGAGGTGCCATCAGCCACCCATGGGTAGGGCAGCTGATGTCCTCAGAGCACACTTGCTTGGGGTTTCCAAATTTTCTGAATAAAAATCCTGATAGTTTCATCACTAAAATATTCTGGATTTTGGACAGATGCCAGAGGGTGTATGTTTTGAGAAGGGAAAAGTGTCTGTGGTCTGCAGGCCAGATCCTACTCAGGGGTACCCAAAATGGAGGCAGACCTGCCAGCCACTCACCTGTCACAGGCAGGTGGAGCCTGGAGCCCCTGGCTTTTGGAAACATGGCTTGGTGCTCTCCACAGGCATTTTTCTGTAGAAGGAATTTTCTGATTCCCAGTGGAATGGTTGTGGATTTTAAATTCTGGGTGCATTTTTTCTTTTATCTAGAAGAAAGTGATGGTAGCACTCTGCGTGAAATACTGATAGTGAATTATTAAAACTTTATTATATACGTAAACACCAAAGCCTTCTTTTGATTGCAAATGCTGAATATTTATGATAATGCATAATACCAGTGTAGTTTCTCCAATAATGGGATTCAGATCTCCTTGGTAGTGCTCGTTAATTTAATCTCTCTGTCACTGCTGGAGGTATGAATACATGTCTTAGTTTTACAGATAAAGAGAACTGGAAATTTCCGCTTGTCCAAGCTTATGCAACAGGTGGTGTGATTTTGAGCTGCTTTTGAGCCGTTCTGTGTTTGAAATCTTTTCAGGACTAAACACAAATTAATTGGAAATAGTTATTTGCACATCCTGATCAAATATTTGCAAATCACTTTCTCTGGGTGTTAAAACCATTTTCTTGAAGAGATCTGCTAAGAAACCCAAAGGGCAACATTGTGAGTGAACATGGAACATTTGCTTGCAAGTTCAGGGCATGGTGGTTTTGGGTGGCTGCTTATCTTCCATGCAGCACCTCAGAGCCACATCAGGGCATCCCTGTACTTTGATTTCCCAGAGCTGAAGCAATGGTTTGTTCTTGCATTCCCAATTTAAATGCTGTCTGTTCATTTTCATGACCGTTTGGAATGAAGAGATAAAAGCACAAAAGATACCAGAACTGTTTAATCATAAAATCAAGAAACCCACAATGGAGTCTTTAGTTAAATATAGATGTTGAAGGTTTTTTTCGGCTTTTCAAATAACTCTGAAGTTTCCAGGATTTCATTATGAGTTTGGTGAGTGAGCCTTTTTTCTTTTTCATTCTTTACTGTTTTTAATAATTGATTTTTAATTAAGAGGCATATTTCACTTTCAGGTCTAGATTTATCACATATTCAGCATCTCACTGCTAATAACTTGCATGGAGCATTATAACTTATTTGTGCATCATGTATTATTCGTCCCATTATGCTCAAAACTGCAAAAGTGAAAAATTATTAAGAAAATTACCTGCATTTGGAGGAGTGAATAAAAACTTGGTATTTTGAGAAAAAGTAATCTCTTTTAAAAATGTGTCCTGAATTTTGACTTCAGAAATCAAAGTGCCATATTTTGCATGACAGTCTTTTTTCTTTACACTCTTTTACATTAGTGTCAAGGAATTAAAACATATGATTTAATGTGTTTTATTCAAGCAAAGTGAGCAGAAGCTGAGGTTTTTCCTCCCTTACGGCTTTGAGTAATCTGTGGGGATTTTTTTGGGTATTGTCCTCTGCTGTTCCCACCTAGTATTCAGTTATTTTCATCATGGTTCATTTTTCTTGTACTTGATTTGCTGACTGTAATGATGTTCTTGTTGCATGTTGATTTCTGCATTGCCTTGATTTAGTTGACCTTAAATTGAGGGTACATTTAATTTGGATTTTTTTTTACCTCCGTAAGATTTTGTTGCCTATGCCAGAATTTGGGAAGGAGACATCACCTTTTAATGTGTCCTATTATGATCATAGTTTCTTTCAGCTCTGTACTTAAAACTGGTAACTTTGTCTTTACAAACTCAGAGAGAGGACAGGTTATATTTACAGTCTCTTGGAAGCTTCATTTAGACCCAGTTCAAGTTAGTCGCCCCAGAAGATCTGTCTGCTTTTTTGTGGTGAGAGCCATGTCTCTCTTTTTTTTGGCTGGTGTAACTATTTTTTTCTCTAGGGCTTTTGCAAGCATGAAAAAAAAAAAAAATTCCCATATAGCCATAAGTATTTTAGCATATCTTAAATGTAGACCAGACATACCTGTCTGCCCTGACAAGATACAATTGTAGGCACAGTTTTAAGCAATTCTTATGGCATGGGGAACTTGTGTTCATGGTCACAGCAGGGAGCTGGGTTTCTCTATACTGCATTGCATAGACTCAATTTTGAACTTGGGATTTGCTGCTTTTATGTTATGTTATAATAGTGACAAAAAAAGAGTGTTTTCTCCCGAAAGAAATTACCAGAATGACTTTTATCCTGGAGTCGTGTCCCTTCAAGTGTGTCAACTGCTGTTTGCCAGCCATCCTGTCTATTTTTCAATTAATTGTGAGCTACTGAGCTAAAAAATCCAGTGATTATCCAGTCAGTAGTGTCAGGAAGGAACAGCTGACACAAATATCTTGACATCACTCCCCTTAGCCAGGGATAAATTTTTATTCTCACGGCTGTGTCTTAGGTACATTACTGGCCATGTCCAGCTGTCTTCTGATAGTTAAATCTCTAGCAAAAACAAAACTAAACAAACCAAGCCAAACCCAAAACAAAACAAAAAAAACCCACCAAAAAAACAAGAAAGGAGGTTTTTCACTTTCTTAATAGTAACTTGACATCAGTTTACTGAATGGATATTAATGACACTGAGAAGTGAAAGTTGTACAAGAGAAAATTGGAGGCAGGAATGAGATAAGTTGCAATATATATAATAGCAGAAGAGTTTAAATACCAGACTTGCCCTGCACTTACCCATTCAAAATGTGTAACAGGAAGAAGACAATCCTGCTTTGTCCTAAACCAGGACTAGATGGTCTCTGTTTTGGATTTCACAGGGCTTGGGTTTGATATTTACATAATTTAAATGCAAGAGAAGCAGGGGTTTAAATCCAAAGTTCAAATTTGTGCATGACATGTGCATAACATAAAATCATCCCGTGAGAGGGAGAGGAAAGAGTTTGGGAAAGGAGCACTGACAAGATTCTTTCATCAAGAAAA